CTGAGCGTCGTGCGTGCTTTCGCCAGCGGCTGAGCGTCGTGCGCGCTTTCACCAGTGGCTGAGCGTCGTGCGTGCTTTCGCCAGCGGCTGAGCGTGGTGCGTGCTTTCCAATATAGACAAGCTACTTCACTGTTTTAAAAAGGCAGAACTACACGAAGAATTCGTTGTAAAACAAGATTTCTTTCCAGGGGTGCGAATCTTTTCGTGCCTCTCTAAAGGCACAAAAGTCTTTAACACCCCAAGAGGGGTGTTGATTCGTTGTTTTTTTTGTCTAGTTGATGGCTTACACTACTTTGACGGGTGTGTTCAGGGGTGGGGGCCTTAGCTCAAAGGTTGAAGCCCTCATAATCGTTTCCCCGTCAAACGGTTTAAAATTTCTGTCATTTTGCGTGCAGTCTAAAGCTGTCCTGGACGTTCGCAGCAACAACCAGTGGAAAGAAAATGCCTTTATATTCTTCTTCCCGAAGAACGGCTGTAGTGGCGCTCGAGAAACCCTCACGGAGATCTTCTCTCAGTACTTTGGCAAAAAAGGGACGCCATGTCGCCTTGTAAAGGTTTGCAGACTACACCGCCAAAATTCTTTTGTTTAATGTTAAGAGTTAAATAGGATTCGATGTATCGAATTATTCGCTATCGAAAACTATTTGAAATTATCCCCTCATGGAATCAACACTAGTTGGCTAATGGATGTTCATTTTTTATTTTATTTTTTATTTTATTTTTTTTGACTTTCAGAAATGTGTTTACTTTGAGAATACCACAGTGGCCCACGTGTATCCGCGCATTCCTATATTGCCATATGGCTTCTACCGTTTGAAGATTACAGCTGGGATAACTGGCGCAAAAGAACCAGTGTATTGCATTATACTTTTAAGTCATGTTATTCCTAAAATTGAATCATAAGTAAAATTAAGTTGTTGATGTAATATCATAGTCATACAGTACATTTTCTTTCATACTCTTTACGTTCGATACGTAACACATAAAAAAAATCAAAGAATACAGTGCATTCTGCTCGGGATGATTAGTACTTTGCGAATATGTTCATGCTGGAATTATTACAACACAGAGGGAAAACTCAAAGAGTACAAACATATTCGCCAGAAGAATATGTAGCTACTTTGATGACGAAATTTTGTGGCCATTCAAAGCTGGATGGTTTTCGAAAAATTTAGGATTGAAACAAATGCCCCTAAAGAGCTACTTTAAGACGCTAAAACACAGATTTCACGTGCGTGAGCGTGGTGAACGCCCACTCCAGGATCTGTTAAGCTTTACTAGAGTTATCTACAGGTGAAATCAGGAGGCCGCTGTGGCATCAATACTTTGGGAGTTACAGTCAATTTTTTTATTTCCTCCAATTGATTTTGGAAGAGATTTCTGTGGAAGCATCAGTACCCTCTCTCATTTTTGACGATTGGATTTGCAAACAAGTCGTATTACGACGAAAAGTCTTTGCCATAAAAGCTGTCGAAATCGTAGTAAATAATTTGTTTGCAACAACTGGTTTCAAGCATGCAAAAAACCGGCACGTCCTGCAATTTTTTATTCAAGTTGCAAAGAAAATTGTTCGTATAGTAGAACTCTATTCTTTTGCACAAGCATTTTGCAGTGAGGAGCAGGCGAGTTGCCTGGTCCAGCGGAGGTGGAGAAAAACAACTTGTGGAGCGTGCGCGGGGGACTACAAGCGGGGCTACAAGCGGGGCTACAAGCGGGGCTACAAGCGGGGCTGAAGGAAGGCCCAGCTTGCCCACGCGCCCTCCGCATAGCCCTGTAAAATCGGGTAATCTGTTGTTAATTAACAAGTCGAAACAAAAGGAGAGAGGGGAAGGCGCGGGCAGCGACGGGGAGGGGAAAGGGGCGGCGGGGGCTCGCCGGGGCCCGCTCAGGCAGCAGGAGATGAAGAGCGATGGATACTCCATCTACGCAAGTGCGCGCGGGCGCCCGTACGAGGCTGTGCGCGTGTGTGCGTGGGTGGAGGGCGGAGCCAGCGTGATCGACAAGACAAGGCAAACAGTTCGGGGTAATCCGTGACGGGCTAGGGGAGGTCCGTTCAGCGAACGTCCTCCGGCGGTAGTCGTGACAACATGGATGATCTCACGACACACTGGGAAACCGCGGTAAAGTGTCTCTTAAAGCCCACAAGGAAATGGCCAGTGTTTCGGCGCGTACGGCAAAATGTCACCTCTCACGTCACGGGCACGCCTTTGATGCATTGGAATCGATTGCAAATGGTATAAACAAGTCAAAAACCGTCGTCACTGTTATAGAATCCCTAAACGTGTCAGTTTCAAAATTTGAACCCGAATACCAATTTACATTCGTTGATATACAACATTTGACGTGGTAGTAAATGTACGGAGGCTCATTGGTACTATATTTCTTCGGTCTGACCGGAGGTGCAAAAACATAATACATTAACATTCTTTAAATTATGCTCATCCCTGTGGCGTGACTCTCTTCCTGTTTTTCCTCCCGTCCCCGGAGCGAGCGCCCGCGAGCGATATAGCGTGGCTGCTGCTGCCGGGCCCTCATTGCAATCTGATGGCGAGCGAGAGAGTGCCGTGCGATTGGCTGAGCAGAGACCGGCGCGCCTTTACCGGAAGTGGAAATAAATGAGGAAGAGCGCGCGCACTCTGCCAGCATTATTCAAACTGGACGGAAGCGGCGGCGGCGGCGGCAGCGATTTGAAGAGCAGCCACGGCAGCGCAAGACGGCGGAGTGGAAATGGAGGAAACGGGAGGGGGG